AGTATGGGGTGGGGGTTACCTGTCTGTATGGGGTTACCTGTCAGTATGGGGTGGGGGTTACCTGTCTGTATAGGGTTACCTGTCTGTATGGGGTGGGGGTTACCTGTCGGTATGGGGTTACCTGTCGGTACGGGGTGGGGGTTACCTGTCTGTATGGGGTTACCTGTCGGTACACGGGCGGGGTTACCTGTCTGTATGGGGTTACCTGTCTGTATGGGGTTACCTGTCGGTACAGGGTGGGGATTACCTGTCTGCATGGGGTTACCTGTCGGTAAGGGGTCGGGGGTTACCTGTCTGCATGGGGTTACCTGTCTGTATGGGGTTACCTGTCGGTACACGGGCGGGGTTACCTGTCTGTATGGGGTTACCTGTCTGTATGGGGTTACCTGTCGGTACGGGGTGGGGGTTACCTGTCTGTATGGGGTTACCTGTCGGTACACGGGCGGGGTTACCTGTCTGTATGGGGTTACCTGTCGGTATGGGGTGGGGGTTACCTGCCGTGATGGTGTCTCGGTGCTTCAGGCTCTGCTGCTCCACGGTGGAGCGGTGCTGGATCTCGAAGCGCCTGAAGAAGCCCTCCTTGGGCTTCCAGAGCGCCTGCAGAAGCAGGGGCCTCTCGTTGGCCCCCACCACCCGGAAGCACTCCCTCCTCCACTCGTGATCGGCCCCCGTCTGACCAATCACGTCGCAGAGCACGTAGTCGGTGGCGTCCTCTTTCTCCAGACAGTACCTGTGCGATAGGAGCATGGCTGTCATGTTGTATTAATCAGGTTTTAGTGTGATTGCCATTTATCCAATGATTAATCAGAATAATCGATTACTAAAATAATTGTCAGCTGCAGCTCTACTATGAATACTTTTGCTAAGCACTGGATGTTTTCTTCAAACTGTAAATATTGATTTCCTATCTTAAAGTGAAAATTGGAAGACTCATTAGTATATTTTATTTCATGAACATTGAGAGGCGATCGGCTTCCAGGGCCGGGCTGTAGGGGGCGCTCTCACCTCTCCAGGGCCTCCCTCACCAGCTCCCTGGCGCTGGAGTGGCTGGTGGCCAGCACGCTCTTGTAGTGGGCTCCCTGGCAGATGTCGCTGCCGAAGATCTTCAGGATCCCCGGGATGGAGCGCTGGCTGGAGAGCTCGGCGGGGTCGTCGGCGGCCTGGGGGTCAGGACCGCCCTGGGTCGGGCCCCGCCGGCTTGCCTCCCGCAGGTTGGGGCTGTAGTTGAAAACCGTGGACAGCCGGTTGTTGTGACGCCGGATCTTGCTCTTGGCCGGCTGCCGGACGCCGACGCTCTCTGCGGAGCGGACGGCGCCGTCCGACTTGTTGGACCTGAGCGGAGGAGCAGAGTCAGGCTGCAGAGCCTTCAAACGTTTCTGTTTATGCTTCAACAAACTCTCTGCTTCTACCAAACAATATCTAATAATGTCTCTGAGTCCTTTGGATGCCAGCAGCTATTTATAATAACCGCATGGGATTTACTTTGAAACTGGCCTTACTGAACAGGGTTTTATTTTAGTCTTTATTCTGTTTAATTTTAGTTTAATTAAGAGAATATAGCCATAAAATTAGGAGAATAAAGACTCAATCTGACCAGAAAAAACATCTAAAAATTACAAGATATAAATCATTTTAACGAGAAAAAGGTCTTGATAGTTATCGTGATCTGACATGAGCAGCTCAGTCGTTTGCCTGATCGTTTCAAAGCTCTGCTTATTGTAATGACTTGATGCTGCTGTGTTAAAAGTATTTTCTATCTGTAAAACTTAAACCAAAGTAGAAGTTCACAAGATGATCAACATTTCTCATTTTTTCTTATTTTTTATGTCAGAGTTCTCATAAAGTTACGAATTCATTCTCCTAATATTGCAATTTTACTCCGGTGATATTTGGACTATTGTATGTTTTTATTCTTGTAATTAAAAACAATCTCAGCCTGGCCCAAATACTCCAAATAAATCAAGCAGTAAACACAAAACAAGATGGCGGCGCGGGCCGTGCTGACATCACTCTGAACTACGGAAACCCAATAAACGCTTTGGACAAAAATATCAATGTCCCAAAAATTTAATCTTAAAAAATGAAAGGCCAGATTGATCGGCAGCCTTTCTGTAGATCTACTTTGCTTTGATTGCCACTTTGCTGATGTTGCATCAGAATTTTTCCATTGTGGGAGAATTTAGGATATTTTTATTCTTTATCCACATTTTTCCAGACCTGGAAATGACTTCAATCACGTGTCTTGGTTTTCCAGATTACAAAGGAATCCTGCGTTCCCAGTCTGGGCGGGTTGCTCTGTAAAAACACACAACCCGCCCAGTGTGCACCCAGGAGTCTAGTAAAGGGTTTAAATAAGTTTCATCTCCTCCTAAACTGTTAAAAGAGGCATTGAAACACCAGAACAATGCTGAAAGGCAGAAAATGACTTTAAATCCAGACACCATCATGATTTCACAAACATTACCAGCTGACTGTACTCTAAAAGTATTTTTAAAGGACTTTATTAAAGAAAAAACAGTTATCCAACCTGGCCCTATGTGAAAAATAAATACTTCCCCTCGTTACATTATGGGGTTGAAAATATGACACATTTTTCAGTTCAGTCTCACTGAACACACCCTGATTACTGCAAAATGAGAAGAATCAACAAACCCCTGAAACAGAACTGGTCTGACAACATGAGGTAGGCCAGACCGCAAGATCCAAATGCAACAAATGAAGCCACGACTTGAAGGAAACAGACAATTATGCTCAAAATCCTTTAAATGCGGATTGATTGAAGCATTTCTGCAAAAAGGAGCATCAGCATTTCTTCACAATGATGTAAAAGACTGATTTCAAGTTTTCCAAACACTTGATGGAAGATAACCAATTATTATTATCTACAGGAGGCAATAACTTGATAAAAGTTATCTCATAAATTAAATCAATATCTGAGAACTGATGTAGTCAGGTTAACTTTGTACAACATTAAAATTTGCATGTGTCAGAATTAAAGAGTTAAAAACTTATACAAGTTACTTTGGGGGACTGTGAGGTGGAACTCTCTTATTTTATGAGTTAAAATCAATTATTTCATGATGCCAATCAGTCCACGCAGCTGTTTTCTGTAACCATATGGCCACAACACAGTTAAATCTAATGCTAAAAGTAAATATTTGTAAATTACTGAACTTACTGGACAGATCCATTGCTGGGTTTCCTCCCCAGTTTGGCCAGGCGCCTTTTGGGAGAGCGGATGAGCAAACCCACGGGGAAGTTGAGGGTTTGTTTATTTACGTGGCTGCTTCTCTCCTCAGAAATCATCGTTTGACTTCAGTTTGTCTACAGAAACACGACGGAACCACCGAGACAGCCGACGTGGGCAGAGGTTCGCATTCTCCCTCCGCTGCCCCGCTACAGCTAGCGGCGGGAGACGGGAACTTTTCCGGATTAGAAAAGCTCAAAAAAGTTTAATCCACAAGACAAACCTTTTTCCCCAGAAGAAGACGTAAAAAGAAGCAGAAAAACCGCTCCAACAGACGCTCGTGCTTCCGTTACACAGACCGTTATCCGAACCGTTTCCAACCGTAAGTTCACATTCCTTCACGGGAAAGAAGGAAACCCGGAGAAGTTTCAGAAGTTTACATTAAAATTCGTCGACATTGGGATCCAAAATGCAGTAAACCGGCAGTCCGTTTGCGGGAAAAAGTTTCTGGGAAAGCAGTGAAGTTCCATCCCGGGTCACGTTGGCAGCCGTTATGTCCAACACGGAGCGCTGACTGAGCGGACTGGATGGATCAACCTGCCGCCGCTGGAGCGCGAGCTTCCTCACTGACGTCACGAGCACCAGGAGGCGGGGCTAACTCACGCGCTCTCGTGTATATGGCAAGCTAAATTAACATTTAATGGCCAGACTTGAACATGTAATTTTACAAATAAAAATAAAAGTATCAAATTTGTGCATTTAGTCAACAAGACTTGAGTCCATATCCTACAAGCATAAAATATGTATTGAAATGAAGATGATCTAAGTTAACCCAGATGCCACAAAAGCTGAAGTGGTAGATTAGTTTGAACATGGAAACTAATAATCAGCTTGTTCCATTTCTTTATTCTCTAAACAGTAAGACTGTCTGCTGCTGCAGCAGATTTCAGGTTAACACCCAGACTGTCATAAATGTACAAGTTAAGTGGGTCCTTTTTGACCGGTTGAGGTAATCTTTTTGCAGTATCTTTGTAATGAAAAGTTTTAATCACTTCATATTCCAGGTATTCCTCAAGAAACATGTTACTGATATCATGCAATTCAAATTTTTAATTTACCTCTTATACATTTTAAGAAATAGCATGTTTTATGTCACTACCCCATTCTTCCGTGAGTGGGTCCAAAATGACCCGCATTCATTTCCTATGGAATTTAATGGGAATCTTTGTTTCTTACCAACTGTGACTGTCAGGAAAACATTTTTTTGTGAACCAAACACACTGAGACCTAAGTGTCACCCCTGAATAATATTATTTTACACAGCAAGAACTCTAAGTATTATCTTTATTTTTTATCTCACAAATGTGTTTGTGTCAGTCATGAGTACTGTGAGCGTTATTGTCACAAATCAACATATTAGTCTTCTTCAAAGTTAGCTAGTTATCTAACCAACTAGGTAACATTACCACCTGTACTTTATTGTGCATGTGTATTATTTGTGTGTGTGTCTCTGTGTGTGTCTGAAACCCTGGATGAGAAAACCAAGAGAGAGAGTGTTGAATGAGATGCAGAACCTGTTGATCAATGTGTTCAAGGTTCTTTCTTTTATCATCTCAATAAATAAAATAAAAATTCATAGCTATAGAAATAAATGCATAAATAAATGAGCCAGAAAAGTATAGAGTGCCTTCTCTGGGTCAGGGAGGATGTCTTGCCCCAAGTGGAGGAGCTCAAGTATCTCAGGATCTTTTTCACCAATGAGGGAAAAATGGAGCAGGAGATCAACAGGCGGATCGGTGCAGCGTCTGCAGTGAAGCATGTGCTGTACCAATCTGCACTGATCTGCACCGATCTGAACCGATCTGAACCGATCTGTACCGATCTGTACCG